AATTATTTCTTATTGAACTATCTTATATCTATTGTACGGTGTCTGCCTTTATTACCACTTTTGCCTATATTTTATCATATTATTCTAGACAGATCATCATAGGTTCATGAGATTATTGTCATAGATGTTTTCAATCATTGGAAAAGTCTTTGATTGTGTAATACAATACAAAATAAGACAAGTGCAGAAGGGCACGTTGTCCATATGAGCCATGTCTATATTTTGGTTAATTAATATTAGTGTACAGCAACTGGATAAAACATTTTACAATATTTATGTAGAAATATGTGCATGATTTATTTGTACGTCAGCCAGACGGCTATAAGTGTGGTCCAGCCTTTACCACCATGTTTAACAAATAACATGCGTTTAAATGTGGGGAAACATGTTTTTTGTTGTTAACTCGAAAACCAAAATAGATACGCATAAGGTTAAAATTTGAAAGTTTCTTAGAATCGCAATACCTTTAAAATGATATGCTATTTGACTAATGGTGCTATTTGAAAGTTTTGATTTTTGGCTATGTACATATTTTCAAAAACTGATATTTTTGAAACTTTTTGTTTTAGAGATAATATTGATGTGTTGCATATGAAAATAAAGCTTAGCTCATAAGGAATGCGATATTTGAATCAGAATCAAGATATCTGCATTTTTAAGAAAAATACAGGGTATTCAAAAAAATATTAATTTTTTCACAAAAACAGCCGCCATTTTGAAATGAATCAATATAATCAAAATCCGATTCTGCTAAATGGTTTGGATTGAAAAGAGCTTTAATTTGATGTATAACATGATATACGTTTGTATTTGATATTTCGTAGATTCGGACTAGTGACCCTCAGTTTCTGGTACACCCTGTATTTAAAATCGTTAAAAATATTTTTACGTTATTCCTTGGGGTTGGTTTAGTGGGAAATAATTTTACTTCATCATCGTAGGACCAACGGTTGGTCTGAAATCAATACTGGACACCTTACGACATTCACCCTGTATACGTAACAGCCAATTTACAGTATTTTTGCTATTTGGAAATGTCCCATTGCTATTTCATTTGAATTATTTGTTGCCAATGAAGCCGCAAGACCATATGAACTAGGAGGCCCCTAACAGTAAAAAATAAAAGCCAACTTCACTTTAAGTATTCCACTACACCTAACATTCTGTAGAGAGATTATATTGACAACTTTATGTTATTGAAAAGGCTGAGACAACTCACTGACATCCCCCATGTCAAGGAATTCCAGCTTTAACAGTAACCCCACAATCAATTTCTCAAAACTATGCTAGAGGGTTCATTCATTGGCACAGAAGTACGATATGAACTGACGCGACGTGACAAAGGAAAAATCAAACTTACACTGTAACAGATATACCTCCCTTTGAAGTTAGAATATGTCTTCCCAACAAATATTTTCTTTTGAAATAAAATCATATTACACTGATGAAATCACGGAAGTGTTTAACTACAAAAGATCCACCAATACGATTTTAATACTATTTAAAGGTTCTTCCAAAGGAAGAGATACCATATAACATACTAATAATAACTCCGATGACGTACGGTATGGGGAATATTTTATTCATTGAATGATCAACCAAATTTGGCAACTAATGCAATTAATATCATTAATGTTTTACGCTTATTGCTAAATGCTCAAAATATGTATATTTCACCCAATTTATCGCAGTTAGATTAATTAACGTGAGCCTTGAAAGTAACCGTTGATTTAGACGGGTTTCACCTAGTATAAATAATTAGTCTTTTAAACACCATTACAACTCGTTTTTAGGTTCAGCTGGCAACACAAATAGGTGACCTAGAGGTCATCGGTCCGTATCACTCCGCTATTTTTCCTCGGCAAGCAATGTGCTCTGCGACTTGAGAAAATAGTTCCATATGTTTTTGTAATTTGAAGTGGTTTCTGCGCCTAAAAAAAGGCTTTAAAGGTATTTTCTTGTTTATTAAGATCGTAGGAATGTTTTAAAAACTTTTAAAAGAAAAGTCCAGAAAGTTTAGAAATACCGAAACTATAAACACAAAATGACAGGTTAAATCGTAGTTATAATAGTCAATCAGCTGCTCATAGTATTATTATCTTTGTGTTGCCAACCTATTTCCAAGCGTACATGGATTACGTGCATAATGGAACAACACTGTTTTGTGTTGTTTTGTTTGAATCCTGATGTGCGCCAAAGTATAAACCGTACGACAAAGTGTATACCGTACGACAAAGTATAAATATGCAGCAATAAGCAGCTTTCTGTACTATAAACCATACAAGGAAGCCAACTTTGTCGGGTGACTGTAGGAAAAATAATTTTTTTAACACATATCTCAGGGTCTAATGCTGTACATGACAAATAAGTAAACTTAAATGGAATTAACAACAATGTGCATTAATTCAAATAAGTTAAATACAAAAATCAATGTTCAATAATTTAAAATTAATTGAGCTAACGGTTAAATTTAATGATGTTTAGTTGAAAATGTTAATTAAATTATGGTACACTATAGATAGTTAAGTAAATAAAATAAATTTTATCTGGCCTTATATGTTGATGATATGTTGGATGCCTAACGCGTGATGATCTGAGGTGATATCCATAGCCTAAGCAGTTGGTAGTCCAGAAGACTTATCCTCACTGATTCATACCTAGTACCATATTTGTATCACCATATGTATTCTAATTCAACTAAGCCGCTTAACGCTTTATTTTGCGCACAGTTCGTTACAGACGCAACATAATCCCACACCTCAGTCGATGGCTCACTGTTGAGAGGCAGGCGCGCAACGTGTTACACTGTATTTGACCATGGGTTGCCCTCATCGATGTATAACTAGGTGGCGTTCGCAGAGGCATCCACAAAATTGAGCGGAGTCATCAAGGGTTTATATTATATTGTTTTGGTCATACTGCAGTAATACCAGTTTTAATGCATGCGTTGCGGGTCTAAAGTAGCATTTTTACTCTTTAGGAAGTAAAAATAGTTTTTATCCTCTATGGAGTAAAAATCAGCTGTTGTCAACTCAGTTGTAAATTACTATTATCAACGATTGCATGTATCAAAATATGTATCAATTCGTGCTTCGTAATTATTTTAACCTACAGTCTACAGTCTCTTCCCATAGTGTTTTAGCATTGCAGATACATAAATCCATTCCCACACTCAACACGCTCACCTTTACTACTTCCTCACCACCCCCTACGCCGTGGACCTATTTCCCTCTCTTCCCATAGCATTTTAGGATTGCAGATACCTTAATCTAATCGTCAAAAACAGTTCCCACACTCCGGACAACTCGCCTTGACTACTTCCTTCATCACTTCCTACGTCGCGGACCCGTTTTCCTCCCTTCCCAAAGCATTTTATGTTCGTTGATACCTTAATCTAATCGTCATGAACAGTTCCCACATTCCAGACTGCTCGCCTTTACTACTTCCTTCATCACTTCCTACGTCGCAGACCCGTTTCCCTCCCTTTCCATAGCATTTTATGATTGCAGATACCTTAATCTAATCGTCAAAAACAGTTCCCACACTCCGGACAACTCGCCTTGACTACTTCCTTCATCACTTCCTACGTCGCGGACCCGTTTACCTCCCTTCCCATAGCATTTTATGTTCGTTGATACCTTAATCTAATCGTCATGAACAGTTCCCACATTCCAGACTGCTCGCCTTTACTACTTCCTTCACCACTTCCTACGTCACGGACCTGTTTACCTCCCTTCCCATAGCATTTAAGGATTGCAGATACCTTGATCTAATCGTCATAAACAGTTCCCACACTCCGGACAGCTTGCCTTGACTACTTCCTTCGCCACTTCCTACGCCACGGACCTGTTTCCCTCCCTTTCCATAGCATTTTATGATTGCAGATACATTAATCTGATCGTCATAAACAGTTCCCACACTCCGGACAGCTCGCCTTGACTACTTCCTTCACCACTTCCTACATCGTGGACCTGTTTTCCTCATTTCTCACAGCATTTTATGATTGCAGATACCTTAATCTAATAGTCATAAACAGTTCCAACACTCCGGACAGCTCGCCTTGACTACTTCCTTCATCACTTCCTACGTCGCGGACCCGTTTTCCTCCCTTCCCATAGCATTTTATGATTGCAGATACCTTATTATAATCGTCATAAACAATTCCCACAATCCGGACTGCTCGCCTTTACTCCTTTCTTTGTCACTTCTTACGCCACGGACCTGATTCCCTCCCTTTCCATAGCATTTTAAGATTGCAGATCCCATAATCTAATCGTCATAAACAGTTCCCACACTCCAGACTGCTCGCATTTACTACTTCCTTTACCACTTCCTACGTCACGGACCTGTTTACCTCCCTTCCCATAGCATATTAGGATTGCAGATACCTTGATCTAATCGTCATAAACAGTTCCCACACTCCAGACAGCTCGCCTTGACTACTTCCTTCATCACTTCCTACGTCGCAGACCCGTTTTCCTCCCTTCCCATAGCATTTTATGATTACAGATACCTTAATATAATCGTCATAAACAGTTCCTACACTCCAGACTGCTCGCATTTACTACTTCCTTCACCACTTCCTACGTCACAGACCTGTTTACCTCCCTTCCCATAGCATTTTATGATTGCAGATACATTAATCTAATCGTCATAAACAGTTCCAACACTCCGGACTGCTCGCCTTTACTACTTCCATCGCCACTTCCTACGCCACGGACCTGTTTCCCTCCCTTTCCATAGCATTTTATGATTGCAGATACCTTAATCTAATCGTCAAAAACAGTTCCCACACTCCAGACAGCTCGCCTTGACTACTTCCTTCATCACTTCTAACGTGTATTCACTTATACAATTAAAAAGTACAGCTTAGTAAAATGAAACTTGACTTTAATCATGTAAAAACTAACTGACAACAAAAAGTAAACAATCTTGTTATTTGTATGTAACATATGGTAATAAATAATGTGAACTCTATACAGACCAAAAGCACGAACACTTCACCTTCTCGCCGAGATTGAACTACTGTCCTTGTCTTCAAGAAGGTTTTTATGCTTTAGTTGGTCAGCGTGTTTTTTAAAGATTCTTCTATCGTTACCTTCAACTTTCCACACGTTTCGCCCTAGTCTCTTCAAGATTACGCCGGGTTTCCACACAACATTTCCGTTTCTGGTTTCTGCCCAAAACACAGGTTCATTTATTTTGAAGTTTTTTAGGCTAGTAGTGGCTCCTTCTTTATTCTCTTTCTCTTTTGTTTTATCTTCTTTATTTTCTTCCTCTTCTGTTTTAATCTGACTTCCTTTTTGGGGTTGAACTAAATCTAAGATACATCTTAGCTGACGTCCTAAAAACAACTCAGAAGGTGACATTCCAGAAGTTATGTGTGGTGTTAACCTGTACTTAAATAAAAAGTTGTTTAAGTCAGCTTCCAAACCTTTAGGGGATTGTTCTTGGCAAAGTTTTCTCAACGCCTGTTTCATGGTACCGACGTATTTTTCAACTTGTCCGTTGGAACACGGATGGTAAGGTGGAGTGGTTACGTGGTCGATTCCAAATGCTTTACAAAACTGTGCAAATTCTACGGACATAAAACAGGGTCCGTTGTCTGTCACTATGGTTTTAGGGATTCCATATCGGCATATTAACAGCTTAATTTGTTTGATTGTTACTGAAGTAGTCATAGAGTTCAACTTGATAATTTCTGGCCAACCGGAGTATGCATCTACGACCAAAAGAAAAACACTATTAAGGAAAGGTCCAGCGAAGTCCAAGTGTATACGGGTCCAAGGGTCAGTGCATCTCGGCCAATTACTGAGGAACTTTCTCTGTGGTTCTCTTGCAGCATACAAGTTGCATAGTGCACAAGTTCTTGCCACGTTTTCGATGTCATTGTCCATCGATGGCCACCAAAAACGATCTCGGGCCAACGCCTTCATCTTTACCATTCCTAAATGAGTGTCGTGCAGGTTCATAAGTAATTTCTGCTTGAACTTTTCTGGGATAATTGCTCTAACCCCCCACATTAGGCAGCCCTCATGTATGGATATTTCGTTCTTCCTTGGCTCATAGGGTTTTAACTCCAGATTGTTTGTCTTGTTTGGCCATCCACTTAATACAAACTCTTTGACCCGATTAAGAGTGACATCATTCGACGTTTCTTCACTGATTTCTTTAGCCGTAACTGGTAGACAATCTATGTTACCTGAGAATATTAATCCAACTACGGTGCTATAACTCTCATCGGCTTGGTCAAACTCGACATCTTCCTTGAAAGGCAAACGACTTAAACAGTAAACTTTCCCAAATAGTTTAGTAGAAACGTATTCTATGTCAAAACGAAAATTTGTTAAAAACAAAGCCCACCTTTGTATTCTGCAAGACGTGGTTACTGGCACTCCTTTGCTGGATCCGAATATAGACAATAGAGGTCTGTGGTCTGTTTGGATCAGAAAATGGGTGCCCCAAAGGTAGATGCGGAACTTTTTAATAGCATAAATCAAAGCTAAAGCTTCTCGTTCAATTTGCGAATAATTTTGCTCTGCCTTGTTCAGTGTTTTAGAAACATACGCGATCGGCTTCTCTTCTCCGTTAGGATATCGATGAAAAATTGTGCAACCAATCCCCACTGATGAAGCATCGGCTGCAACCACTATAGGTAATTCACTATTAAATGGCACTAGAATAGGAGTGGAAACTAAAGCATCTTTAATACGGTCAATTGACTGAGAGCATTGTTCTGTCCACGTCCATTGAACATTTTTCTGCCTGAGTTTGTTTAATGGTGCACAGATCTCAGAAAAGTTTGGGATGAACTTTGAGTAAAAGTTTGGCATTCCTATAAATGATTCCAACTGTTTAATGTTTTGGGGTTCAGGCATATCTACTATGGGCTTTATCTTGTCTTGATTCGTCGAAATTCCATCTTTGGAAATACATAGACCCAAATAGTTGACTTTTTCCTTCATGAAGTGACACTTAGCTCTGTTTAAACAAAAACCATTGTCCTCAATGCGTTTCAAAACCTCTTTTAACGTGTTTAGATGTTCAGTGTCATTTATTCCTGTTATAATGACATCATCCAGTAGGAAAGCGACTCCATCTAATCCAGAAAGCATAGAATGCATCTTTTTTTGAAAAATTGCCGTAGCAGGAGCTACGCCAAAACACAGTCGATTGTATCTCATAAGACCAAAAATAGTATTAATGACAAGGAGTTTTTTAGATTCTGTGTCCATGGGAATAGAAAGGTAAGCATCAGAGAGGTCAAGGGTAGTAAATTTCTGTCCAGGACCTATCTTGGTTAATAAATCGTCTTGAGTTGGTAATGGAAACTGCTGCACCTTTAATGCTTGGTTGAGTCCCGTTGAAAAATCTGCGCATATTCTAGTTATGTGATTCCTACTCCCGCATTTGTAACATCTTGGATTTTTAATGTTACAATTCCTTTTCAGATGTTTACCACCACATATAAAGCATGGTCCTAGAGATAAAACATTACAATCTTCCCTCTGAGAAAAACTATTTAATGAAGCATCTTTTACTGAGAAAAGAGAATTAGCTACGTTAATGACTTCTGAGAACGTTTCATAATCCTTCTCCATGAGTTTGGATCTTATATTGTTATCACATATCCCCATTACAAAAGCGGTAACAAGTGCTTGTTGGAAAAATTGAATGGGAAATTGACAATCATTTACTTTATTCCTCAAAACATTGGCAAACTCCGTCAGACTCTCGCAGCCCTGACGCAGTGAAAAAAACTTGACTCTTTCTGCAATGGCGATTTTTTTAGTTTTAAAATTGTCCAACAATAGCTTAAAAAGTTCTTCATACTTAAAGTCATTTAAATCATTAGGTCTACAAAGGTTAACCAGTGTGCTTAACACATTTGTACCCAAAGCGTTTATGAATAGCAAGCGTTTGGTTTCATCATCGTTAATTCCATTGAGTTTAAGACCTGTAGTAAACTTAATGTGCCACACATCAATCTCTACTGTGTCCGGGTCGAACAAGTCACATTTAAAATTACAAATACTTTTTTCATTACGAACTTGATCGGTACCTGGATCGTCTTGATGTCGTCTATGTCTACCTGATGTCGGCATTGTGTGAGTTCTAATTCCTCGTCGCCAATAACGTGTATTCACTTATACAATTAAAAAGTACAACTTAGTAAAATGAAACTTGACTTTAATCATGTAAAAACTAACTGACAACAAAAAGTAAACAATCTTGTTATTTGTATGTAACATATGGTAATAAATAATGTGAACTCTATACAGACCAAAAGCACGAACACTTCAACTTCCTACGTCGCAGACCCGTTTTCCTCCCTTCCCATAGCATTTTATGATTACAGATACCTTAATATAATCGTCATAAACAGTTCCAACACTCCGGACTGCTCGCCTTTACTACTTCCATTGCCACTTTCTACGCCACGGACCTGTTTCCCTCCCTTTCCATAGCATTTTATGATTGCAGATACCTTAATCTAATCGTCAAAAACAGTTCTCACACTCCGGACAACTCGCCTTGACTACTTCCTTCATCACTTCCTACTTCGCGGACCCGTTTACCTCCCTTCCCATAGCATTTTATGTTCGTTGATACCTTAATCTAATCGTCATGAACAGTTCCCACATTCCAGACTGCACGCCTTTACTACTTCCTTCACCACTTCCTACGTCACGGACCTGTTTACCTCCCTTCCCATAGCATTTAAGGATTGCAGATACCTTGATCTAATCGTCATAAACAGTTCCCACACTCCGGACAGCTTGCCTTGACTACTTCCTTCGCCACTTCCTACGCCACGTACCTGTTTCCCTCCCTTTCCATAGCATTTTATGATTGCAGATACCTTAATCTAAACGTCATAAACAGTTCCCACACTCCGGACAGCTCGCCTTGACTACTTCCTTCATCATTTCTACGTCGCAGACCCGTTTACCTCCCTTCCCATAGCATTTTATGTTCGTTGATACCTTAATCTAATCGTCACGAACAGTTCCCACACTCCAGACCGCTCGCCTTTACTACTTTCTTTACCACTTCCTACGTCACGGACCTGTTTACCTCCCTTCCCATAGCATTTTAGGATTGCAGATACCTTGATCTAATCGTCATAAACAGTTCGCACACTCCGGACAGCTCGCCTTGACTAGTTCCTTCACCACTTCCTACGTCGTGGACCCGTTTTCCTCCCTTCCCATAGCATTTTATGATTGCAGATACCTTATTATAATCGTCATAAACAATTCCCACAATCCAGACTGCTCGCCTTTACTCCTTTCTTTGTCACTTCTTACGCCACGGACCTGTTTCCCTCCCTTTCCATAGCATTTTATGATTGCAGATACCTTAATCTAATAGTCATAAACAGTTCCCACACTCCGGACTGCTCGTCTTCACTACTTCCTTCACCACTTCCTACGTCACGGACCTGTTTTCCTCCCTTCCCTTATAGTTTTCGGAATGCAGATACCTAAATCTAATCGTCATAAACAGTTTCCACACTCCAGACTGCTCACCTTTAGTACTTCCTTTAGCACTTCCTACGTCACGGACCTCAAGCTAGTGTCGTCATTTGATTATATTTATGATTCATACCGTTTCTATTCTAATATCTGTGGAATAATGCTATCAGCTATTTCTTTATCTACTGCATTCAAAAGTCAACAGCTGATCATATGTCTTTGTTTATGCGTCAAATACTGCTTCCATAAGGATTACATTGAAACTTTGAGACCCAGTGGGGCGGATTCCTGAGAGTTATTTTTAACGCCATATAGATGTTGGCACTCACCGATATGGTCTTTATCACCATCCAAAATTTGAAAACGATTGATTCAGCCGTCTAGGAGGAGTTTGTGTATTATGAAATGCATAAAAGTCGACGTATAAGAGCTTCGCTCGCTCCGCTCAATAACTCTACTGGATAGTGCGTTGTGTGGTGGAAAAGCGGTCCGTGCCCGCCAATGGAATTGGTGGGATACTGAGGTGGACGGGCCGAATGAACCTCTCTGTTTTACCCAAACATACATTCACTCAACCTGCTTTGCTACCCCGCAAAACAGTGTTATGATATTTGTTAACATAAAAATTTCAAATTTAGGTCTATATTTTATTTTTTGGGAAAAACCAGTGCTTAGTACTATGCAGTTAGTTTTTACCTAAACATATTTTTTATAATTTATTTAGGCAAATTAAAACTGATGATTATTTTTTAACACCATTAAAAACATGAAAAATGTAGTAAGCGAGGAACTTTTTTATTTTTTTGATCAGGAAAAAAATTCCTGCGGCAAAGTTTTAGATCAAAGTATGAATTTATTTTTTATTTGAAGCTTCTTTTGATACGGAGTCTGCTTGTATCATTTTTAAGCGATTAAAAGTAGGCATAAAATCGCTTGGCGCAGCATTGGCGCTAGGAGCTCGGCCAGCCTTAGTATCAGTTTACGGGATATAGATACTGTACTGAGTTTCTGGCATTTAATTATCATTATACATCAAATATGTCATTACATTACAAAGAATGGTAACTAAATTTACAAGCGTATGTTTATGCATTTTAATGCTTACCGGTAGTCTATAGTTAACAAAATTCTTTGATTAAAAGAATAAATGTTGGATTCCACAGTAGTATTTACTACCTGAGAAAATATTTTGTTATTATTTTACTTCAGTGAGAATAATCAATACATTTTAGATATTGGCATTAAATATTATACACTCATTTTATTAAAACATCTATACAGAGGGGTGCAAAAGTAGGTATACAGTACAAACAGGCACACAACACACACAACACATAACAACACACAACACACAAGGAAGTGAGTGTTTTGTATCAATTACAAAATTTTTAAGAGTTAATTTAGGTGTCTTAATACTCTTCAAATCAATTTCTTTTTATATGAGTGGATATATTTTTCTATAATGTTTCAATACTGTATACCTACTTTTGCACCCCTCTGCATTTTTGATACTGTAACTTTCTTATTGTTTCAAGGGGAAAACCAGTCAATCAAAGATGAAATTTCATTTTCGATGGTTATTTTCCCACAAAGATCACTTTAATAACGAAAAATCTGGTTTTTACAAAAACGGTATTTAATACGCTAGGCATATTTTTGTCATAATTGTTTTGGAGTGGTGGTGCTACCGATCACCATGTCTAAGGTGTCGTTAGAAAGGTCTTAGCATGTAGTTTTGCCATCAAACAAAAACACTTTGGAATTCCGTCAGGGCTCTGCCCCAGTGGCCTTCAAAGTTCCCATGTTATTCTTAAGGAGAAAATGTTTGTTTACATTTGAACAGATGAATACTTTGAAATTGACACTAATATTTGAAACAGCTGGTTATACTAAAATTTTGCACAAAATCAAAACATAACCAAAAAAACGTTCGACATAATGGAGACTAATAAGACGTTGACCTGAACGGCCAATAGGAGGAGGCCGACGAACTTAAACTGGTAGACGCGAACGAAATACAAATAATACTATTGTCGTTGATAGCCGAATACAGCAAGCACCCTTCCCTGTTGGGTTTAAGTGTGATCTCCAACAGCCGCCTGAAGATTTCACATTCAATTTAGGACTGTTGGATAATTGCTGCATAAGCTGTTGATTTTGGAAGATAAGGAGGCGGGTAGGACTACATCGTTAACAGAAGAGAGGAGATATTAGATGAGTGCCAAATGCGTTGGGAACAGATTGTTTTATGTTAACGTTTTAAAGGTAAACGTTTGGATATATACCTAACATCAAAAAGAGAGTGGAACAAGATTGGGAGATGGGCCATTATGAAACGCAGTTTGTCACAGGACATGGACAATTTCAAGGCGAATTTGTGAAGATTTCACATGGTGGAAGAGGAAGTATGTAGATGTGGAGAAATAAAAACCACAAGTCACGTATTTATAAATTGTTCACTTCAGGAGACAAATAGGAGAGAACAGGAATAAGTCTTGGATAAGAGAGGTCTAGATGAGAAAATTTAACATGATGAGTGACAAGGAAACAATTGAGACGTTTAGAAAAGTAGCTATGTAAATAGGAAAAACCTGGGATAAATACAGGCTTTTAAATTTAAAAAAAATAAACAAACAAAAAATGAG